CAGCAGGGGCGAAGGGAGCGGCTCCCCCCTGCTGATGGGCGCCGGGGGCTTCTGCTCGCGTGTGTCGCAGCCCACAATCTAAACGGGGTTTTTCTGCCTCTCCTTTTCCTACTTCTATTGAGGCATCTCTGCAGCTGCCCGTCAGCTGACTGCAGGGCTATTGACTGCCGTAGATTTTAATTAAACTTACGTACGGTCTGGTCCATTGGGAGAGCACAATTCAGTTTTTATGGATCTGAGAAACTTTTATTTGGACTGAACTGTTTCCTATGTCCGTTGTAACTCAGTTTAGAAGTTACAAACGTATTAAGCAAGAGTAAACCAGTAAAGATTCCTAAAAGGCTTGTGGGGGGGTTTCTTATGTGCATACCTTATCGTTTTGTAGATGTGTTTGATTACCATGCAAGCCTACTGGTCTCTATTTCTGTAGGGGATTTGAGAATGGACATTGTGAAACATTTCTAGAACGTATCAGATACTGCAGACTTTTTGGAAGTGTTCTGAATATATTGTGAAAATGAATGGAAGTCTATAGATTCCCTTAGTGTTGCTGATACCCTGTGTTTGCCGCTATGAATTCCTCCATATGGTGAGATACGAGGAATATTTTGAAAACAACCACTGTTGTTTTGCTTTTGAATCATGTCTCCTTGCCAGACATCACTCTTTTCTAGGAGGATGGGAGTGCAACCCTAGCCTTGCTGAAGTTAATGCTAACATTGCATTGATCGCAACTCTCCATCTGAAACACTGCATTAGACCTCATCGCTCACGCTTCTGTTTTCTTAAGAAATATCTTTTGAACAGTATAGGCTGAAAGGTGACCAGAGAATACTAGACTGTTTTACAGACAAGTAAGGAGGAAAAGTGGGTACAGAAACAAAATCAGTTTTAAGGGAAAGCAACCTGAAAATCCCATTAGTGATCTGGATGAGAGTGTTGCCTCTATTAGTTTCCTTAGATGTTTAATTGACAGGTTTGCAGTTCAAACTTTCCTTTTCTGTTATGTATATGTTGTAAAGTATATAGTTCTTATAAGACTGCCCCTGAGCATTAGGGGAGGGGGGGGAAACAGAGAACACAACTATATTGTAGCTTTCCTGTCAGACCTACAGGCTTCAGCTTTTATATCAGTGAAGGAAAGTTCCCACGTTGACAGCACTCATGATTCCTGTTAAGATTGCTGTAAACAAACAGGTGTTGACATTTTAATCCACTGTTTTTGTTATCTAGACTGAGCCAGCTTTTCATACCCTAGAAAGTTCCAAAGGAAAAGTTGTTATGAATTCAGTACAAATAATTATACAATTAAATACACGAATTACTTGAAAAAGTAGGAGAAAAAAAATGAGTAGAAAATTTACATCACGCTTTAGGAAAATAAATTTCGTATCTTTGCAAAAGAGATCTCTTGAGCATATGCCTCATGCATGTCCTTGAAGATAGTTTTATTGAATCTAGTCCCAAACACCTTTTAACATGAAAAGATCTACTTCTGTTAAAACTAAAATAGCCTATGAACTTCAGAAAGAGCAGGAAATTAAATGCAATCTTCTTCTGTCTGTGGCCAGGATCCACAGTTGTCTTTATCAGATGTTATTACTCACCTCCAACAAAGTATGTTGGCTCCATAATTTTCCATAGCAATCAATGGGAAGAATAATAGAAGAAGTCTATGAAGGAGCTGGGAACCTAAGTACCCTGCTAAGTCTAGACCTACATGTTTACTCCTCAGTGGCTTAATATGGAAGACATTAACGAGAAAAAATATCACAAGGATATCCTTCCTTTTGCTCACACCAATCGTTGGGTACCCTATTTTTTATATGGTTTCAATAATAAAAATATTTGACTTACACTGGTACATTTTTGTTTCAGGCAAAAGAAATCATTTAACAGTCCAACAAACTGATTCAAAATATTCATTACTACTAAAGTCTTTGTTACTATGTAATATACGTATAATAAACATGTAACTGGGCAGTGTCCCTGTACTCTTCCCAAGATAGCAGGGACTGGTATCTTGGGAAGAGTACAGGGCCACTGCCTGGTTGTGTAAGGATGGGATCAGGAAGGCCAAGGCTCAGCTGGAGCTGAACCGGGCAAGGGACGCAAAGAATAATAAGGGCTTCTACAAGTACGTCAACCAGAAAAGGAAGGTTAAAGAAAGTGTACCCCCTCTGATGAGCAAAACTGGCAAGCTGGTAACAACAGATGAGGAGAAGGCTGAGGTACTCAACAACTTTTTTGCCTCAGTCTTCACAGGGAACCTCTCTCCTCACACCTCCCAAGTCAACGGGCCATTTGACAGGGATCAGGGGAGCAAAGGTCCTCCCGCTGTAAGAGAAGATCAGGTTCACAACCACCTGAGGAACCTGAATGTACATAAGTCTATGGGTCCTGATGAGATGCATCCCAGAGTCCGGAGGGAATTGGCTGATGTAGTTGCCAAGCCACTCTCCATGATATTTGAAAAGACATGACG